TTTCTATGCTGGGGGACATGTGCCAGGAAGTTGCAAACAAACTCTCAGCAGAGGGTGAGTAACCCTACAGCAACATGAACAACAAATCATCGTAAAAAGAAATATATTATCTAATTCTTTAACTTTTTGACATGCAGAAGTGGACAAGATGAGTGCATATGCAGGTATGATCACAAATATATAGTTAGACATTTTTTCCTATAAATTGATTTGAGCTTCATCAGTACCTGACCTGCTGTTTTCTTCTTGTATCTGCAGTCAATGTGACCCTGGATCCCGAGACAGCTTCAGGCTGGCTGGTTCTGTCCACAGATAAAAAGAAGGTATCACCCTATAATCACTGACTCTATCAAGCACACTTAGATGGACATGCTGATTTTGTCAGTTTTTTATGCTCAATTGGAGAAAGAGATTCAGAATGAAGCAAAAACTTGCTTTGGCAGCGATGATGAGCCCATTGTTGATCCTCAGGTGAGCCTCGCCAGCCAGAAGAAGAAGACTCTGCTCCCAGACAGTCCCCAGCGGTTTGACTCCTGCGTCTGCATTTTGGGGAAACAAAGCTTCACATCTGGAAGACGCTACTGGGTAGTTCAGGTGGGATCAGGATCTGAAAGTCATGTCCTTAAGAAATAGAAAAAAAATCCAACAAATACCAGAGATGCTTCTAGCATTTCAGTTGATCCATCAACAGTTCACTGAAGACTCATCGGAGGTGGTGTCATTTAAAGGGTGGCTGTCAAGGAAAGGCTAAGGTATGCCAGGTTAGACAAGAACTGGACTGAAAACCAGTAGAAACAGGTCTGATGGAGGGATGACTCCAAATTTCCAAATTATTGGTCATTACTGTCATGGCTGGGGCTGCATTTCAGCCAGCGGTGTTTCAAATCTTGTCAAAATTGAACCCTCAGATTTGCAATGCCATCTTGGAGATGTAAGACTGCCAATAGCTTCATTTCTTATCATGAGAATAAACCTTGGATACACTGCCAGTGCAGTAAAAGCTTACCTGGATAGAAAAACACACAGTGAAACAGTGAGTCATGGATTGGCCTCCCTAGAGCCCAGACCTCTACTTTGTGGGATTACCTGAAGGCAGCCAACATACAAACTCGGTTTTTGCATTATATACTGTATTTACATGTATGTTTGCACAATGTAATAAATCTCTTCACCAATGTCCCATTTTCTTAGCAAAATATAAAGAAAGTAATGTATTTTTCAACACAACTGGGGGGAAAAGCTATTATTCATAGTGGTTATTATTTTCTCTTCCTCTTGCATTTTCCATCTAATTCTTTGTACACCATGTTTCAGGTTGGGGATAAAACAGACTGGGATCTTGGTGTGGCCCAGGAGTCCATCAACAGAAAAGGTGCCATCACAGTTCGTCCTGAAAACGGTTACTGGGCCATCTGCCGGCGAAAAGGTGGCAGTCTGAGCGCCTGCACCGGACCCTCGGTCACCCTCAACCTTCACGAAATCCCCAAGAAAGTCAGCATATTCCTGGACTATGAGGAAGGGTCGGTGTCCTTCTATGACGCAGAGGCAAAGACTCACATTTATACTTACGGCGGTTGCAGCTTCAGTGAGCCTCTCTACCCGTATTTCAACCCCTGTGTTCAAAACAACGGGAGAAACGTGGCCCCGCTTCTTATCTGTCCTCTCGAGGGAGGTGTCAGGGAAGAACAGGACACAGCCATCAATTTAACTGTATGATGTGATGCTAACTAATGCTAACTCTGAACCATTTTTGGGTTAAACAAGTGCTTCCTCTGGACGATTAAAGTGGTTGTCTCAAATATATGAAGCGTTTTTGGGTCCTGTTATTTTGAAGGAAGCTGATTTGTTGGATATTTAAATGTGAGGTCTAAATAAGCTGCACCTCACCATTATATTCATTATGTATGATGATCAGGCTTCACATAGAGGAGAAATCCAGCTTTAATGTTTGAACATTAAGGCCTTGAATTAGTATTCGTTTCTTTTTTGCAGACTCTGGGAATATGTTGACAAACCTGTCATCAGACAGGTTTGTCAACATCATCATTTTTGGTTTGTTTTTGGCATACTGGCATACTGGGAAGGCATACTCAGAAGTTCTGATTTTAAAAACTCTTGCGTTTCATCAGATTTGTGCTGAAAGTACCTAAAGCTCACCCTGAAACATATCCTATATCAGCGCCCAGACAACAAACTGAGCGACTTACTTTCCTGCACTTGCACACAGTAAAACATAACTCCCGGCACCTCAGAACACACACAGATCACATCAACAGAGGGCCCTATGAGTGCATGATCCAGAAGGCCTCATAAGACCGCCTCTAACTACTTAAAAACATGCTTTAGTGCTTCCTTTATTACCTCCTTAGAAACACTGAACCATATGATAGAGATCATCCACCATCAGACCCATCATGGACACAAAAAAATGTGCACAGGTCATATAACTGTTAGTTAAAAGTTTCTTTAGACCCTGTTAACAGAAAACGGATTAAACAGATGTGTGTGTTCTGTAAAAAAAAACAATTACATCAAACATTTTATAATAAACAAAGATTATTATAAATATTTAAGCGATTCTGAGTCCGACGTCAGAGCACAGTTCTGCTGGATGTGAGCAGACGTAAGTACTCGCCATCTTTATGGTTTTGTTCCTCCCTCCTATAATTGTTGCTCTGCTCATTTTACTAGGCCTGGGCCCTGCTCTGAATCAGAGTGAGCAGATCCAAACAATGGAAAATACCCTGAGTATGCTGAACCTAACATTGACAATCAGGATAAGCGGACACACAAAGCTGGTTATCAACACGATAAGTTAACTCAGTGTTTCCACTGGGCATGCACATGAAAGGTGTCAGTATGTGACCAATCACAAATGGTGGTGTAGAGGTTAAACACACAATACGGACTGAAAGACAAAGCTGCAGCGTGGGTGTGTGTGCGAGGAAAAGCTCTGCGCAGTAGTTTAGTATTAAAGACAGAATGAATGTGCGAGCGCTTTAAACACTTTGGTGAGAAAGAGTGGAAGAGCGCCACTATGCTAATACATAATACAGCTTTTTGGAAGGCAGGAAAAAAAGGGAAAAATACAAACTGTGTAAATTAACGTATCTCTCTAACAGAGCTCTCTCATTTGGACAAAGCACAGTCTGATGGATTACAGTAAAGTATGTAATTAAATTAATGTCGAGCAAGTTTTACTTTTTATTCTCAGCTGCAGGCTTGAGTGTCTTTAATGATCTGAGAGTAAAGAATAAATGTAACTCTCTGAGTGAATTCGATCCACAACTACATAAAAATACTGCAAGTAACTGCTCTGTTTTAGGATATTTATGGAACAATAAAGGAAATAAAACCAGTAAAGTTGGGAATAAAGATGCGTCTATGAATGTTTATTACTGATGCTCATCGGGAAGACATCAACACTTTAGATGCTGTTAAAAATTTACACCCACTCAGAAGTCTGAGGAATCTTCAGGGATGGTGATTTTCTGGAGCACTGGTCCATCAGTAGGCGGTGATTTCATACCTCTTGATCTCTAATCCGAAGCATACCCTGTTCACAGCATAAGTTACCATGGCGATATACCTGTCTAAATTGATGAATGTTTAAAAGGGGAAAAAAGCTATTTGTACCCGCTGTCACCATTAATAGTCATTTACTAATTAAAAAACAAAACATTTTTTAATTATAGCAGGGATACGCGTGAGTTCGTGATGAATCCTTTAAGTCCCAGCGCATTTTCTGTAATATCTGAGGTTAGATGAGAAGGAGGGAGAAAAAGGTAGAGTGGGGGTGGGTTTGAGGAACAGTGAAAACAGAAGGATGGCAACGCTCGTGATGTGATTAAACGTCTGCTCGAACGCAGGGGTCCCCTGGAACAGAGATGTAGTGAGAGAGAGAGAATGAGAGAGAGAGAGGGGGAGAGGAGGAGAGATAAAGCTGAAGGTGAGTGTGAAACGAAGCTCTAACTTTACTGAGCCAAGCTGGCTTCTGTATGTTGCTGCAGGAGGAACGCTGACGAAGTGAAAGGTGGGTGATGGAGATTCTGCAGATTCTTTCTTTGAGGGTCACTCTCGTTAGAGCGATTGTACTTTTTGTCATTGCACTTATTGTCTATGCTTTTGAGGATTTTTCGGGGCAACATCTCTAATGTCACCCAAGGAAATGCTAAAAGGTTCTTTTATAATTTATCAAAGTATCGTCTGTATTCTTGTGTTTGCTTCTTAAAACAGTGGCTTTTTTTAAATAGTAAGCGTGTTTGTGTAAAGGAATGCAAGTGCAAAGAGAGAGAGAGGGATTAAATTGGAAAGATGCACAAGGTGAATGAGTGGGAGTGTTTACCCACAGATGGCCTCTCGGCGGTGGGATTGTGATAGTCCGCTGTACCCCCTCCTGAGTCCAGCTGGCGTCACTCACGCGGGCCTCTTCCTGGCCAAAGCATTACCTCATCACTTCTATTTATTTTCTGCTTCAATATAAAGCGGTTTTCTATTAATATTCTCACCGGTTAATTGAGCGGCGATGTGGCAGAGCACCGGGATGGCCTTTTTATTATATTTACAGCAGTGCAGGTTTGATAGATTTTAACTGTGCTGAGGCACACGACTTTTCTCCAGCAGCACCGTGCTGTGTTTTCAGCCTGTTTTCAGAGTCGTCATGTTCTCTTATTAAAACGCAGAACAAGAACGAGGATAGTGGGGTTTTTATACTTAATATTTTGATGCATGAACTTGTTTTCAAAGGGCTAAACATATGTAAAAATGGTGGATTATCCAACAGTATGGGTTGTTGAAGCAAAGTAGGGGCAAGAGTCACCAAGGTTCAGGTTTTTTAACAGCTGTTGCCATTGTTCACCAGTAAGTTTATTTGCAAACTAAAGATGATCAGGTCGTCCAGTCACATTGAGTTTCGTGCAATGTTTTCATGTGAATAACTGTGTCATGTGCACTACTGATTCGCAGGCCTGAAGCTTCAATCCAGTCTGGACTTCTGACTCAGCACACTTGGCCGATGGCCACTCCTGCCCTGGTGTGAGGGACCGGACGCCACCACTTATTCCGTGCATTTATGGACTTCCTGTCAGTCGTAGTAAGCCAGCTGAGGAGTCCCTGAATCGTTTAATCTCCAAAGAGATGAGACGAAGCCCTGGCTGATGTTTTCTTTCCAGGTGAAATTATGACCCTGCTGGTAAAGTGAGGTGCGCGCCAAGAAGAGTCTCGCTAAAGAGCTGTGGTGACCATTCTGCAATAGAAACGCGAAGAAAAAAAGATGTCTTGTCTGTCGTTTACCCCTGCACTCTACCTTGATGCCCACTCCGTCTTTGTCGTTGGACTGCTGCTGCTCGTCCACCGGGGGCCCTCCGAGGTCAGCTGCCAGAATGACACAGAGCCGATCGTGTTGGAGGGAAAGTGTCTGGTGGTGTGCGACTCCACCCCGTCGGCGGAGCCATCAGGTAATGCCCTGGGCATGTCAGTGAGGTCAGGAACTGGGCGGGTGGCATTTTCGGCCATTCGTAACACCAACCACGAACCGTCAGAGATGAGCAACCGAACCATGACCATCTACTTTGACCAGGTGGGTTTTAAGGCTTGTTTT